CCTGAATTATTTTGTCGGTGAAATAAGTTTCGGTGAAATAAACTGTCGGTGAAATGGAAAATAAATGTCGGTGAATTGTTGTCGGTGAAATGTTATTTCTACGAAACGAGCGTCGGTGAAGTGAGCTGAACCGGGATTTTTTAGCAAGTCGTTCTTCGATTAATACCAATTAATCGCAATAATCGCTAGCTAATCACATTGAGGAAGTTACTTGAGAGCATCCTAAATTATAGCTAATTAGAGTAACTGAAAAAAAAACTAATCTACCTAGTATTACCATCAAAAATCTGGTACGTAATTGCTGCTTAAAATTTGATCCAGTATCCATTAAAATATGTATTTCAATCAATGAATTTTTAAAGTCTTTTTGAATTAACGCAATAACACTCAATTATTTAAGCAACATCTCAATCACTAGCAAACCACATTGAGGAATCGGCTTGAGAACGTCTTTAGGATGTTCGCTATTGTTTATATAATTACCTGATTGGCTTAAAAAATAAATCGAGTTAATCATTTAAGTCAACTGAACAACCCATGTCCACTAAAATCAGGTATGTACATACTGAGCTTAAATTCATTCACCAATAATAAGTATGATCAGTAATACGTATTATATGAAGTTTTCTTTATCTTTTTGAAATGTAATGTCTTCAAATTAGAAGCTATTTATTTAAATAATCCTTGTTCGCTTGTCGACTAATTTAAAAACCATGTTTTAAGTGTTTATCTTTTCTAAAAGGGTTTATTCTTTAAATATTTCTAAATTTAAAATATAAAGTCTAACTCATAACACACAAGTTAGTTAAATAATCGATTTAGTAAATTCATAAAACTACGGTATACATAAAATGAGAGGACGAAATATAGAATAGCTGATACCTTAATAAATAATCAATTGGTTTAAAGTAAGTGCCACCTAGACCTGATACTATATTTTATCCTTTTAAGTTTTAGCCAATCAGAATAACTATGAAAAAAAATGGTCTGCTCTGCATTTCTATTTGTATTTGCTAATTCAAAAAAAAAAAAGGGTTCGAAACTTAAAATCTTGATTCTAGAGCCGGCAGGGTTATCGTTATGAAAACCAAGAAATTTAAATCTGAATGGCCTAACTTTGTTCGAGAATTAAGAATAAAGACAATAATATCCGATTTATTGCAATTTTCATTATTTCTGGGGAGTTTCGACGCCGGCCAACGCCGGAAATTTATTGATCCCGAATCGCTAACTTATCAACTCGGTTATTGCTAATTTTTTTAGCTGTCCCATGAATAATGAAAAATAGCTGTAAATCTGGATATTGTCTGTTTGATAGGTTTTTAAACCGGATAATATCGATATTCGAATATACATTTTTAAACCGAATTTCTAACCAATATCCGTTTAAGTATCCGGATCCATTAAGTATAATATATATATATATAATATATATAATATAAATTTTAAATATATATATTTATATATATAATATATTTTTAAGTGTATATATATATATATATATATATATGTATTATTTCTAAGTATATATATATATATATTATTTCTAAGTATATATATATATATATATACAGTATTTTAAGTATATATATATATATATTATTATTAAGTATGTATGAGGGATTATATATAATATATGAACGTAATATATATATATATATATATATATATATATATATATATATATCGATATAGTGTAAATTATTAAAGTTTAAGATGGCATCATAATTAACTGTATTAGATATAAACAAGGATTTTCTTTGTAAGGTACCCATGCATAAATTCGATTCACACATTTCGATAATTTTTTTAAAAGCTCGTACGTATTTTTACAGAAATTAGTGTATTTATTTAATTAACATTCAATTTATTTTGTTTATATGCATAAAGACAATGAATTTCTCGTTGTTATGTATTGAAATTTTTATTATGATGTGCTTATTAAAGGAGTAATGCATAACGATAATAGCAAGAGATATAGTAATCTTATTAGCATATATAAATTTAATTTAGTTACATTATATTAATATTAATAACGAAGGATAAAAGTTATAGCGTTCATTTTAAACTCATATATTGTACTATATACATAATATATATTCATATTATTAAATTGCTTACGCTTTCAAAAATTATAATAATTATGAAATGTTACAGGGATGCTATTTATATATCAGTGCACAAATACTGTATTTGGTTAAATTTATCCATGTTTATAAATACTGTAATAATTAATGATCGGCAATTTGATATACAAGGTACCACGCGCAGAATTGTTACGTAAAATTGCTTTTAACGTGTTCTTTTTCATAATAGACATATCTTAAGAAGTACTATGTAAAAAATTACAAAATTTATTTGTTTTTTTTCTGTCTAAAAACGTCGCATAGGACTAAAAAAATGTTCAAATTTGGAATACAAGTAAATTACACGTTAAATTAATCAAAGAATTTAAATAAAACGATAAAAATAATAGGGCCGCTATAGTTATAATATAAAGTGATAAAAACAACCAAAAGTAGCAAAAAAAAAAAAAAAAGAAAAGATTCTTTAAAAAAAATTGGAAGCTTTGCGATCTAAAGTGGAATGTGAGGTGTTACTATATTCGGATCTAATTTTATTATTAAAGCCAATACCCTCTGTCAAATTTTTTCTTTGATCGATATACATATATAGTATTTATATATTTCTTTGTTTACCATTTCTTTTTTTTTTACATTTTTTTATTTATTATTACTTTTCATTCTAGTGTAATAAAAATATATTAAACGCATATGGTTAATAAAAGTGTTTTTTTTTTTTGGCTGAATCAGTCTATAAAATGCCAGACTTCTTTTTTTTTTTACATTCCTTGCGCCATGGCAGTAGCTGAGCTCAAGATGAGTTTTCCTCCCGAAATAAACGTTGAAGAGTACTTATCAAACAGACTCGAGTATAAACAGCCATTAAACGCATATATGATATATAGAAAAGTTTATGTCCGAACATTTAAAGCGAAAGGAATACGATTATCTTTATCTAATGTTTCCAAGTTATCAAGTAAGGCTTGGAAGAAAGAGCCCGCTGAAGTCAAGAAATGGTACAGAAAGTTCTCAGATGATGTACGTAAACAACATAGAAAAATGCATTTGAGATTCAGAGAAGTCAGGCCAGGACCTACAAGAAGTGATGTATCATCCTACAAGGTATTTATCTTTGTCCCTGAAAATCCAGTCGAAGGTCCTCCAAGCTTAGAATCAGCTTCTACCGAAATCACGAAGAATAATACTTCTAATAAAAAAATAGATATGAATTTAAATAACTTTAATGATTTGTATATGTATCCTTTAAGATCACATTATGACCCATATAACAATAATTCTCCATTAATGACTATATTTCGCCAATAAGGATTAAAATTATTTTAAAATAATGTTTAATGTTTTTAATTTAATATTAGCTTCAATATAACTATATAATTTATATTCTTTAAAAAAAATCCCCTATCTCAAAATTATGAGTTCTTATGAAGGTAAATAAACAATTATAATTTGTGAATTTTATTTTATTTTATTTTTTAGAAAAAGGTATTATATTATATACATATTGTTTGCTTAGAAAAAATTATATATTCTGAATTGAATTTTTTTTTTAAGAAACGCGTTTTAACATACATACGTACAGTACGTATCTAAAATTAGAAATGATCGAATCGTTTTTTACATGTTACGCAAAAAGTAATATATTTATATATTTATTATATATTATGAATATTATTATATATTATTAATATTATTATATTATTATTTATTTATACTTTAAATTTTTTACGCTAGAAATATTTCGGGTTCAAATGATCCTTTACTCGTAGCGCAACTAACAGGATTAGAATGAACGGTAGTATCACTAGGATCAGTACTACTATGTTTATCAGATCCTTGCCGTGAATGTAAACTATCTATTTCAAGACTGTTTAAACCATGACAATGTGAACTGCATGTATTTATGCTGTTATGTTTTAAATCGATGGTATTTGATTGTCGATGATGGCTTTCGTTTTCGCTTGAAATCCGAATACTAAGTTGTATACTGTAATTCATGCTAGCTGCGTTAACTGATAAATAAACTAGGTGATTAAGTTTATAAGTTATATGAAATTATTTTAGTGATTATATTTTTTACATACTTGGAGTGTTTGGTAAAGTTTCTCTGCAATTTAAGGCAAGGAATGAGATTTTGTGGTGGTTATTATATGAATGTAATAAATGAACGCCATCAAGTTAAACCCGTACCGGTAGTGCAAACTTAACATTTACACTGTATAAGGTTTAACTTGGGTAACATTCAAATGAGTTAAAAACAATATATACATACTTAATAACTGTGTATATCAAAAATCCGAAAAAAAAGGGTGTCGCATCGTTGCAGAAGAAACAGTAAATTATCGTGATAAGATAGTGCTTCGATATTCTGTAATCTAATATTGGCGCGATAAGTACTATCGACCAAAACGTAAAAACCACCACACACACCCAATAGTAAGTTTGCATCTAAATATATAAATATATATGTTTTTTTTTTTTTTGAAAAAAAAAAATTCGGATCAAATTTGGAAAAATTCAAAAAAAATTCAAGCAAATGAAAGTAGTCATTAAAACCAAACCTTTTTGATATTTGCATTAAACTTTTTTTTCATATATAATCTTTCTCTCGTTCGTATCTTCATCCATCGTACATCATCAACACCTATTAATCTTAGACTCTCTTTTGTTAGAACCACTACAGCTCTACCATAATACATGATTAGAACCCAAACAAATAGACAAGATGTCCACAAAAATAGAATTTGTATTCTTCTGGCATAAATCAATATATCATTATTTTGGCGATAAAAATCTGCAAATATCGATGGAATTGTTATACTCATTGTGGTGAAAATTATTGCTATCCATGTTAATATTATAACCTGTTTTTCGCTTGGAACCCAAATTGTTTTAAAACGGTGTTTTTTAGAATTTACTGAATCACTATCAAAACTTATCTTTGGGATCGTGACAATGACTCCATATAAATACCAATACAATGAGATGAATCCAGGTACCCATGAAATTCCAAATATTAACTCTCGAAAAAGAGTGAAATGAGGAAGTGCGTCAAATATTAATATTAAACAATTTAAAGTACGCACTAAAAATGTGAAATAAATTCGATATTAGTATATTATTGGTATGATAATAGTTTATATAAAATCTATTCATTTACTTACACATAAAACTTAATAACGACCAAATCATCATTACCTCCATTAGCGACAGGAAATTTTTACCCTGGCTATTTGAAGATTTAAACTTCTGACATAATAATAAAAATAATATCAAGGCTAGAAATCCATTTATTACTGCTCCGCAGATCATAATACTTGGATAAATTTCTCTTTCACAATTACTAATAGTATATGTCCATCTACATAAAGAAACAAAGATGAAATATTTGTTTTATTTCTTTAAATTACTGAAAAAATTTACGCAACTCGCATATTTCTGAAGACATATCGGAACCATAAATTCAAGACCGTTTACCGAGGAAGAGAAAGAAAGGTATTATAATTTATTAGTAATTCTTTACTAAATTCAGGTAACCCTATTGAAGGCATATGAACATATTGTTTATGAATAAAATAATGATGTGTTTGTTCATGATAATCCTAATTGACAAAACTTAAATCTAAAGATTTTCCAACTCTAAATTCCAAGAGTTAATGAAATGAGTCTCTTAAAGTTCGGTGAAAATGGCGATTAAAAATATAGTGAAAGAATTCCTTATATATTGTGTTAATTAAAAATGATTGTATCCAATTTTAATATATTAATCTGGTTAGTTTAATTGTAAGTGAAATGAAAAAAATATTATGACTTTAATTTGGTAAGATCGCTCACATTTTTTTTAAAAGGATCTTTTACCAGTTTTTTTTTATATCTCCAATTCTATGATAATACTTTACCTTTATCATGAACTGTGATCTTAATCTATTATCGTGTAGGGCAGGAGCGATCAAAGACTACTTATAATCTGTGGAGTCTGGATTGAGATCGCCCTCAGAAGTCTGATCCTATGATCCAATTTGCAGTGTTGTCAAGACTTATTTTCAATTGGAATTGGACAGATGTCAATTCCAATTCGGACTATGTCCAATTAGTCCAATTGACACGCTGGATCTAATGGTCCGACTTTTCTAACAGTGCCCAGATGTTAATAATAAAAGTAGCTAGTTAAAATATGAGTATGAGTGTTGCCAAATTAAAACCTGCAATTCTAATAATAGACTATTATGAATTTCATAACGATCCATTTTTAGGATTGCAGGTTTTATTTGGCGACACTCATATCTGAATATTTGGTCAACTAATCGATTAAGCGATTAGTTTCTACGTAGCATCGTCAGCCATTCATGAATAAATACAGTATATATATTAAAAAGGTATTAATCGACTAGTCTATTATATTAAGATCTACGCACAGAATCCAATTACGGTGAAAGTACAAGTCACTCTTCCCCCAAAGAAGTTCTCATAATTAATATTCCCTGTGATTTTAATATAGTGAACGAGTTAGCAATAAATAATTTCAATTTTTATATCTCTTTTTATGGTCCGGAATGGGCCGGGCTTTGCTGGGCCCGAAATCAACCCGAAAAATAAAAAATTGACCAATCTAAAATGCCGTTAAATAGAAATCACCTATTTTTTTTTTTACAGAATTAAATGTCGACACATTCAACATTATTAAACTTTCGTTTGAATACCTGGCCAACATGTTTGGTGTGTTTACTTTGTGCGAAAGTTTATGGAAAAAGTTGTTCTTGTCAACCAATAAATCTTAGCAAAAAACATAAAAAAGACACCGGATATAAAAAAACTTTTATAATAAACATATTACCAGTTACATTAATAGGGGCTAATATTAAAAAAAAATTAATACAGAAATATGATCAAAAATGTGGCTGTTTTAAAATACGCAAACATCTAAGTGTTTGACAATTTTTCGAAATGATAAACCTTCTAAATTTTTTTTCAATTATTTGCCAGCGAAGATGCTTTTAGTTTGTAGCCTTATTAGTCACCTGATTTTAACTTACGTATACGTATATCAATTTTATTGGATTTATTACAAGTGAATCTTGATATAAGAAATTTGCCAGGTCAAGTCAAATCCTTTCTTATATCGAGATTTTCTTATATCAAAAGCTTTTTATTATAAAATTTTTAATTGGGATTTGCAAAATCTTTCTTATGTCGAGAGTTTCTTATATCGAAGGTTTCTTATATCGAGAGTTACTTGTATGCTGAAATCAATAACTTCACCTGATCGGTCAAAAATCATTTGGCAAATTTTATCAGGTGTTCCAGAATTATGAAAACAGCTGTAATGATCGATAATTCAAGTATCATTATCCAATATGAAGCCCGGTTCTTTGCAACATAACCATTGATTATTTTCCTATAAATATATGTATTATTTTTCTTTGACGTTTTAAAACTGTGATTTATTGCGATTTGCAAAATTTTGGATTCACAATCGATTGGGATTGTGAAGATATACGCTTCTATTACATCAAGAAATCTTTGAGGTTGAATTCTGATCGATAGAAGATTGATTAGGATTTTATTCTCAGAAAGGTTATTTTGTGCTCTTACATTGTCACGGGCTAAAAGTGGATCTACAAAATTGGCACAGTAAACTCGTGACTAGAGAGGATTTACTATCAGAAT